ACCACCACCCCAGTCTGCTAATCCAGGCTCTGGACCTTCAGCCATGTTGCAGATGCTTCTCAGCCAGGAAAACAACATCGAGAATCTCATGCTAAATCTCACCCACCCCAGGGGCTTTGACACAGGCAGCACTTTTTTAAACACTGCCCTGGTAATGGGCAAGTCGCCCTCAGACTCTGTTTCCTTTGCAGAAATCCCACAAGCTGGGCCAAGCTTGAGAAAACTCTATCTTCAGCTTGATGGCTCCCTTCACCTCTGGTGTCTACCATCTGTTTTGGGGGTTACCATTACAACAGCTCCATGCAACAACCACAACAACAGAAGTGAAGAGCAGCTTTATTTGGACTCAGTGTCCCCAGCCTTTGTGTGAATGTTGTTGAAGTTCTGCTGGAGGTGGGAGCTGAAGATCTCCCAGGTGACTTTTACTTTCACTGTGAGTCCAACCTAGGGACTCAGGCAGTTAGAGCCTGTAAGTCTTGCATTTCAAGAAAATAAACTTTTTTCAATTGATTATACGTTTCAGTTGAAATTTTACAGCCCTCAAGTACTGTGAGCAGTTACTTAGTCACAAATTCTATTGTACTCTAAATGGGACATTAATCTATAAAATGAATATCAGGATTTAATGAATATGACTTAAAATTGGAGATTGAGATCATAAACCCAATTGGATAGAGTTATGAATCAATTTCATAGACTTGTTTACAATTTAGACTGAAACCTGAGAAGTCACTGGAAATAATTGAAAGCAATTTCTCTGTTCAGTCTTTTCAGTCTTTTCAGAAACATAGTAACAAATATAAGTATGTCATATGATTTTTTAACAAAAAACTACAAATAGTTTGCTTGTTAAAAAAAAAAAGGCCAGAAATTAAAATCAATCTATTTAAAAAATAAACTTATAATAAAGATCTAGTGCACTAAAAATAACTGTTATAAGAGAAGTTCTCTTTAGCACTATCCTTTTCACACTTGTGCTTTAAATCACACAGTGAGACATTTATTAACAGAGTTGCTGTTTATGGGCTGTATAATAATTACATGCATTGTAACTAATAGTTGTAACATAAAGCCATAATAGGGTGAAGGAAACTTTTATGGGTAATGATAAGCAGAAGTTAAATTGACATTAAACAAATTCTTTGCTTTCATGGTTGTTTAGCTTTGAGTAAAAATATGTTCAAACTCAAATTTATAGCCCACGTTTGTGGATCGCTATTTACAACTCTAAATAATCTAGATACAGAGATTTGCACCACCAACACTTATGCAAACACAATACAAGACAAAACATTGCAAGCATTTGTTGGATTTGGTATTATGTAAAACTGTTGGTGGTCTTTGTAGTTATTTTTAAAAGCATTTTAGTGATCAGTAACACAAGAAAAGCCCAGTAAAAAGCAATCATGGGTGCTGTTCTTGTTGTTCAAAGCATGTTTTCCATTCATTTTCTGTTTCTTTTGGTCATTTTAAGTGTTCACGCTAAGGGGCCTGGGTTCAAATCCCATCTGGGACCTTTCATGCCATGTCTGCATGTGTTTTCTTTAGCTGTGCAGCTACTTCTCCCACATTCTAAAAAGATGCATGGGATCAGATTAATTGGGGATTTTAAAATTGACTGTGAATGGAAGCATGAATAGTTTCCGTACCTATGTGTTGGCTCTATGATAAACTGGCAGCCAATGTTCCCTCTAATTTTTCATGTGTCTGAGCAAACACACAAACTCCCTGAGCGGTCCCTTGGACCACTGTGAGCAACAACAGACGTGTGCACTGTAGTCAAGCCAGCATCGAATCCATCCAAGTTACATGGTTTATTAAAATAAGAAAATTACAGCATTTACATTTATGTTAGACAACTTTTAATTAACTGCTTTAGCCCACTTACAATGAAAATTGTAAGTGAAAATTAAAAAATAAATCTTGTTCATGACCTCTCCAACTCCAGTTTTGAAAACAAAACTTTTTATTTATTTATTTATTATAAAGCTCTGACTTGTATTATGAGTATGACTCTGTGGTCTGGAAGAGAGTCCTGTAACTCTGTCTGCAAAATATAGTTTATAATGACCAGTGTTGGGCAATTAATTATATAGTTACTTCTTTAAAAAAGTTACTGAGTTTTGCAAACAAAGTTTTTTGCAGCTGTTTACCTAAAAATGCTGCCATGGCATTTTTTTAAACAAACATTTCAAAAATATTAACTGAACAATCAGCTGTTCTTCATCAAACTTGATGCCGCACAAATTATTTGTGCCACTCCAAAAAATAAATTCTGTCCACTATGAGATAAAGGAGAACAACAGCCTGATACCTGCAGGCCTGACAACAGGAGATGTATCACTCCTGTAACACCTGTAACATTCAGCAGTCACCTCATTGTTCTGACACACACAACTAAACTATTGACTACACTACACACTAACTACACAAGATTTGCCCTAAACGTTGCAAATCTCTCACATCTCAAAACACCGCCGTCACTCCTAAAACTCCCGTTTCTTAACAACTAAATACCATGTTGCCATATCATTTTTTTTGATTGGTCGATACATTTTTCCATATCGACCACTTTTTTCATATCGGAAAGGGTGGGGGTGTTTTGGTTTTGGTTTTGCTCACACGCGGAGAGTGCTTTCGAGCGTTTTCCTTATAAAACGCCGTTTTTACCGTTTCTTCCTGCAGTAAATATAAACAACGATAGTATTCGGGAAGAAAACCAAACATTGCATATATTTTTATCATAACGTGGCATATCAACACAATTTAAAAACTGGTATAAAGTTCACACTTTTTCCATCAATTGTTCCGTCTGTCCTGCTCACATCTCCAACGGTTGTACACGTTGTCATTAAAGTGGCTTCACTCCACATCAGCCACGCCGCTTTGCTAGCTAAAATACCGGGGATTGACTGGACTATGGGATAAGGTGGCATCGTTCTAATCCCATATGGGAGCAGCCAGTCACTTACTGACTAACACTGCAAAACAGAATTGTTGAAGTTTTAATTTTAATTTCAATTCAGGTTAGATTTTTTTTGTGCGCAACGCAGATTTTCTGTGCGCAGAGACCGTGCCAGCCTAACACTTAGAGAGAACATTGCTGGCATCATGTTCAAGTTGTAGTTTACCTCTTGCCCCCCAGACCCTCTATGCCCCTGAATGAATTTCAAGTGTATTTCAAGTGCTTTTGTGTTGCTTTGTTCCTTTTTTCCTTTGCATTGCTTTTCATGGATCTGTTGATATTCACTTTACTTTTTTGTGGCCTTTTTTGTATAATTGTTTGATTGGCTTTGGGTCTGTTTATGGTTGAACTAATACTAACTAGCAATATATCACTTACTAATTTTGATAGCAGACACCAGTGGTAGTTTTGCTAACTTTGAATTTAAATAGTCTTTTACGGAGGAGTTGTTTTTTCTGCTTGTCGTATTTATTTTCTCCCGTTTTTGCAGGTGAATTTTGACCTCAGCTTTCCTTCTCTATTTAGGCCTAATCTTCTTTATCTTTGCAGGATATTCAAGAGTTGTGTGAAGAAAACACTATTAATGCTGATGAAATCTGCATGCAGATTTCCAGATCAGGGCTTATATGGGATCAGTGTAAGATAAGCCGAGAAAAGTCTTGGGTATGTAGGCATTGTTATACTATGCAATCTCGCATGCAGATTCAGCACTTACATCTAATACACTTGATACTGAGGGTGTTTTCACTCTGCTTATGAGATTTACGGAAAAGACAGGAACAAATTGCAACTGATCTATCTATCCAGCCCTGCCAGATAGAGACATACTATGCAGATTGTCAAGACTTAGGGGCAGTGCATGCTAAAAAATATCTCTTCTTATTCCTTCTTTTTCAAACATAAAATGAAAAAATTTAAAAAGCACATTTACACAAGTCTGTGAAGTCTCATTTAATCCCTTTTATATAAGCCCAGAGACAATAAAAGGTCAGTGTTAAGGATACTGAACTCATGCTTTGTTGACTCTGGCTGTAATACAACATTTTTTAGGTGTCTTAAATAAGTATAAATAATAGCTATACTCTTCCTTTCAGTGGCACTATTAAAAGCTACTATTATCATTTTGAAGTAGGCTCTCCATTCCACATATTTTTGCATATTTTAATGAAGGTGATAAATAGAAATGACCCAGAATCATTGATATTATGACCTGTGAGAGAAAAATAATAATAGTTAAGGAGAGAGTGAAAACAAATAGACTGCTTTGAAATTTGTAGATTCAGCTTTGCATAAAAACTGCCAGCACGTTTTGTAGCTGGGATTTCTGAGATCCCAAGACAGAAGTCGATTTCTGTAGGAGACTAGAATAATTCCAGTTCGGCTTTATGTACAATTTACAACGAAATAAATAAGGAATTTTTTAGCTTTTAAATTGTGTCTGATTGGGATTAGGTTTGCATTTAAGATTCAGATGCCACAAGTGAAAAGAAAGCAAAGTGTTGGATGTTTTGTTTATCAGGAGGTAAAAAATTCAGACATAACCATGAAAAATAAATGACGAAAACAAAGAGGAAATGGAAATCAGAAATTGAGAGCTGGCCTTAAAAACAAAGGGAAGTATTGCCTTTTATCTCGGAAGCTAATTGGGTTAATTGGGAACCGGCGCAAACGGTGAGGCAGTAAAGTGAGAGCAAACGGAAGAAAAAGCAGCAGCCCTGCAGTGCGGGATATCCAGCTGGGAAAACTAGTTGTGACAGAAGCATCCTGGGGTGCACAGCTTTAACTATAGTGAGGACGTTTAGTAGGGATGAGGGAAGTTTTCGATTAATTTAATGTTACCTATATGCAGATGCTCTGATTTGATACCCGATGTTAGAATGAATCCAAATGTCAAAACCTGCACCAAACAAAACAAAAAACATCATCACTGGTACTGTGTTTCAAAATCTTCATCTTTTCAGCTCCAATTGCGTGGCCTAAATTTGTTAAAGGGCAGCACATTTGGGAATCCTGGACACTTGGACTCCAACTTTGGGTGGCGCCAGAGCGCAAGAAACGAGGAAATGGGTAAAAACCAACAGAACTCATCGGGTAATCTGCCCGGAGAATCGCTTTATGGCTTCAGCCGTCTCCACATTCCGTTAGGTGATGTGTGGATCTTTTCAGCGGGTGGCAGGACTTGCCACCTGTCAGGAATGGTAAACAGGCTTCGCTGAAGACCGCGTTGACCCTTTCTTCCTTTGCACAGGGAAACGTTCGCAGCTTTTGTTCATGTGCATCTGTGTTCGTGAAAGAAATACGGACAACTTTAACTGACATCGGCGCAAGAGAAAGTGAGCCACACGCATAAGTGGCAAGATTATAAGCGGAGCGTCTGCACCCGGAACCCTCCGACCCCCTTCGCTTTTTTTGAAGATTAGTGGGTTGACCACGTCTGAAGGACACTAACAACCGGATTAGGTATTGTGCAGTGTAACCTACTTCTCACCACTCCTGCATCTTGTCCTCTGAAAATTTGCGCAATGACCTTTGGTGCACTTGGAATACAGCGGCTGCGCCCGTGAGGTAAGGGGATCAATTTTGGTCACTTTTGAGTTTTCTTCAGGCTGTTTGGATTCAGTATGTGAAGTTGTACAAGATGTAAAAAAATCAGTCTCCACACATACAGTTTTTGTCTGATCCGCCGTTATAGCTTGTTACGTGTAGACGCAATCGCATTCGTTTTGAATATTTTTTGTCGAAAACAATTAAATTAATGGTGAAGGATTATTAGTCATATTGTATGTTGTACAGCTTTACCCAGGCACCAGGCACGGCATTTTACAAGCTTATCACGTCAGATTACTCAAACGCTCTGGATATCCAAAGCTCAAAGCATAAGGCTAAATGTAATTTGCAGAACGTGCACCCGAGGAGAGGATCAATAGTTAAGGGATTCGCATTTTAGTCTGCATTAGTACATTCTTGGTATCATTACTAAAGATGCCTCTACCTACTCTGAAAGGAACATCAAAGATTGCGGGGTTATTTCTTCCGAGTACCACTAATGTACGGTACACGTAACACGTGCGAGTTGGATCGTGACATTTTTCCTCCCAGGAGCTAAAAGGAGGTGTGTTTGGTCTTGGGATCACCATAAAACAAGAAAACGTGCATGTCATGAGTCTGGCTTGTAGAGCTGAAAACCTCTGTATCATCAGACGGGCACTTCTTGAGCTGCATAGAGTCAATAGATACCGTCGTATGAGAGCTTAAATATTGTAATTAGTTTACTCTATAACTTAATAAAATGGATGCAGCAAAGTGTGTTCTTAGGGGCAGTGTATAGGGTTCTGTAGTATGACTGGGACTATTTCTGTATTTAGTCAGAGTACCATTTGCAAAAACTTAATGCCCAAGTCTGATACATTTCTTTATTTGATTGTGCGAAGGCTTGTTGGTGATTTAGGGATATTCCTCTGGAAGGAATGATTCGGTGAGATAAAAATGTATTGGTAGTGTGTGTACATAATCCTCCTTACTTTGAATGTCAAGAAAATGATTATCTTCTCCTCCCTGTGTATTCCAGCTTCTAGTATCTACAGGTATAGATAGTAATGCCCTAGAAGTGTGTAGGGAACACTTTTAAAAAATACTGCTGCAGGATATCTTCATTAGTCTGGGGTTTGGCCTGTTCTTTCCAGAGGCGCACATTTGGGAAATGAGAGATGAAGAGTAGCGTGGCTCAGGCCAGCCAGACGCTATTGATATTCTGCCCATGCCCTGCTCCATAGGCAGCCCATTGTCATGGCTCGCGCAGTGGGATAGCATCTGATGATTGAGGTGTATGGAAGAGGGTTGAAAGCTGGTTTGAAAAAGACACTAAATGTCCATTTATTGAACGTTAAAGGTGTGATCTCACAGTAAAGGCAAACAGTCTATGTATTTCTATCCACTGCACGAGAGTTGCATGGAAATCAGAAAAATAGCTTAGACTATTTTTTTGATTGACAGTTTATCTTGTATAGCATAACATGCATCTTGATACTTGTCTTGTGTATGTAGTCGTACTATTACGCAGGAATTTAATAGTTAACAGATGTAATTTGATAGATCCAAAAGTCTTTCATTTCCTTTAATTCTGTCTTAGCAGGCCCAAAATATAAAATAAAAATCTTGAACAAGAGAACTGCGTGTCAGCTTTGAAATGATACAACTTCTCATCAGATACAACAATACTATGTGCATGTGGATCATACATGGACACACATGGATCATATCTGTTATGGGTGCATGAAATTGCAATGCTCTGCAGCTTTCTGTCCAGGCTGGTGAGAGAGAGACAAGTCATCCACGGCTTTGGGAAATAAAGAAGTAACAGAGCTCAACAAAGCAGCAAGTAATGCCTGCCGGTAGTCAGTGTCAGGTAGAAATGATGGGGGGGGGGGATGAGTACAAACAAACAACCACAGGGGAGTAACAAAGAAATTTATCTGAGGAGATGAACAAATAAGGGTAATTTTTGAAGACTGCCATGGAAGTTGACACACAGAGGTGCAATAGCTTACGAGTTGCTGCAGTAGGAGGACTCCACTCTGAGCACAGCACAGCTTCCCCTTTTGATTTTTTTCCCCTTTCGGTTTAACTATTGCATCTTTCAGATTTGTTGCTGAAATGTTAATTTATCTACATGCATACTCACAATAAATATACTTATGTTTATGCTGTGAGACTCAGTGGCCTGAATGTATAGGACTTATATCTGCATATATATAAAAGTTTACACTGGTCAAATCTGGAAGAGATTTTTCTGTTCATTTTGAATAGGACCAGGGGGACTGTGATCTACACATTTAGAATATAACTTTTCATTATCTAAATCTTAAAGTGATGAAAATTCATAGAGACAATTTCATAGCTGCATTAGGTCGTTGTAGGGTTTGACTAACTGTTGTGGCCAGCAGCTGGAGTGGAAAGCCGTGTCCAGAACCCCATTGGAGCATGAAGGGAGAAGATGATTGCATATAAGTTATCTCCATGTTGCAGCACCAATAGTTTCCAAATTAATAACCTCATATTCGATATGAATATGAAAAACTCCCTGCACATCTATTCAGTTATTTTCCATCTCATGTTCTTTCAGTCCTCTTATCTCAAACACGGGGAACACAGAGACCTGTTCTGTTCATGGATTTCTGTCTCTCAGATAAGAACAGTTTGTTTGGTAGCAGGTTGGTTAATTGTAAATGTGTTGTATCTCTTTTTAAAAATGTTTAACAGACAGACCTCATAGCAGTTGCGAGTGCAGTCAGATTATGTATAGTAAAATCTAACCCAGTGCTGAGGGGCATTTTGATTTCTAAGCTCTAGTGCTTTCACCTTGTAAAATCTGTGAATGTATAGAGTACAGTAACTACTTCCAGGAACTGGCCTCATGAGGATGGATGGAAGGTCAGATAAGTACCGGTATGTTTAGGAATACCAAACTTTTGATTGGAATCACTGAGAATATATTGGTGTTGAAATGAAGTCCGTCCCTTCAAAAATAATGACCTCAGTGCCTTTGAGAAGTATACTGATCAACAGAGGAATAAGAGTTGTGCTGATTAGCTCCCCAGTCTGATTGTTTGAGTGTAAGCCATGTGGAACTTTTCCTCCATAAGAAACCCTCATCAGTTGTGTCTGTGAGTAATAAGGAATCTGAATAATGGTCTCCTCTCCTTATTGAATTGGCAATTGTACCACCAGTACAAAACTTTAATGGCAACTTTGAGAAGCTAAAACTGAATGTTTATAATGCTGTTGATGTCCCAGCCTGACAGGATGAAAGATGGATTACTTTCCTATTCACTTGATGCCAGTCTAATTAGCATATTCCACTATTGGTTTAACTTATTAACCTTAGGTTATCTTTAAGCAACATTTCTCTTCAGCATTTGCCCTTGGAAGAAACATATAAATAGAAGAAATATATATTTTTTCATTTCTCTCATGAAAACACTGTCAGCCTGAGTTTTGAGGGGGGACGTTTGACAGAGGCAGATATGCAAATTATTTTCTTGATTTTTGTGAGGGTATTTGCAAGTGTCCGTATGCTTGCTGACTGAAATTCTATTAGCATAAATCAATATTTACCTCAGCTCAAAATAAATGTTTTTGTGAAAAGGCAAATAGACAGGAAGGAAGCAGATTACCGTACAATCACAATAGTTTGACTAAACATTTGTTTCAACATTTGTAGGTGTAGACAGATAATATTGTCACTATGTTTTCATATCACACTTCAGTAATAGTATTTATCTTTGTTTAGTGTTCCCAGTTACAGTAGAAACAGGTTCTAGAAATACATTCTAGTGTCAGTAACATCAAATTTTGCATTTACAATTACAACTTTCTTATTCACGAAATGCAACCTGCTTGTTTCTCTGAGTTTGGGACCAGCAGGGTTTGCACTAGCTTGTGACACTCTGTATAAAGTTCACTTTACGATTCATCCCAGTCACAAATCAGGGACCATTTGTTGTGAGGTGAATGCACTGTTAACCCCCTACACTAAGGGCAGTTCACTGTGCATATGGATACTTTACCTCCTGAGTAACAGATCTCAGGATGGGAGATCACCCATCATTCCATTCTCATCTTGAACACTGGCACACCACAGGGGAGCTTCCTTAGGCCCATCATCTACTCCATCTGGAATAACTAGCTCTGTAACTTAAAAAAGAGGAACAGTAACAGAATTACAGTCATTTAAAGAGTGCTTGTAAAATGGGCCTGCTGGTGGGCCCATTGTAAATTTACAATCCCCCCCCCCCCCCCCCCCCCATTTACCTCTTGAATGGTTAACTAACCGTACGTGGTGCCCAGGCCTAAGAAATGACCTGCAACAGGTGGTGAGGGCAGAACAGCATATTATCAGTGTGACTCCCTCTCTCATTGATATTCACAATAGCTGATTCCATAGGAAAGATTGTTATATTGACCACGCCCACCCTTGACATCACCTATTCTTCTCTCTGTACTATGGGAAGAGATTCAGTTCAATGAATTTCAAAAAACAAAAGAGCTATTTTAATCTATTCTATACTATGTAAACACATAATGTTGTCGGTCGCAATGGTTCAAATCACAGTAGAAAAACGGCTAATGTAATTGACATGATAAAAATACTCACTTTGGTCAATTTTTTTTACTTCTTTTTAAAGACCTGCCCATTTAGGTGCAAAGTGGCAACATCCATAAATAGAAAATGACTGTAATTTAACATCATACTGTAAAGTGCAGTCGTTATGGCAAATGTGCACTCTCTAGCATGTCCTAATGAGGAACATACTTGGGTCTTGGCTGCTTGTTTCTGTATCTGTCTTTGTGTGGTTTGTTGCCAGGGTTACATGACTTTTGGTGAAAAGCCAATAAAACAACTCTACCTGCTTCCATTAGTTCTGTTGGCAATTGTAATTGGTAATGTAAACAAACTATTCTAGGAGAAGCATCGGTTCAGATCAAGTATAAATACACCGATCATGACCACCTGCCTAATATTGTGTTGGTCCCCCTTTTGCTGCTAACTCAGCCCTGACTCATCG